TCAAAAATTTTTAAAAATCAACCGAATTTACTTGGAACTTTGTTATCACTCGAGAGTTTTTAAAGTTACTAATAACGAATCTGAAATTTGTTTTTCAAATTTTTTTTTTTTTTTAATTTTCTAAATTATTTTGTTTCCATAAGTTTATTTGACACTTTAAAATAATTTTGAAAATGTTACGTAATGTATAAAATTTGTTGTATCTTTTGAAATTTTTCTCTAAAGTTAATAATAAAGTATAGCAAGGGAAAGGAAATTGTCTGATGGGGTTGTTCTTGCAACTCATCTTGCATTTGATTATCTTTGTCCCCGGTTTACCCTTTTAACCGTTACATATTTTAAATTTCAATTAGTCCTTTGGCTATGCATCTAATTGAATAAAACTGTCACTAGTTTGTAAATTAACATTTTACATATGGGACGTTTCACGTTAAGCGGGCCACCCCGATGGCCAAAATTGAGAGCTTCCAAAAAAATCGCTTATACCCAAAAATTATTCATATATATAAGTACTTTCAAAAAATATGTGGCCTTTTGAAAAATCTAATATGGCGGCGCTAATATAACCTACAAATGTGTCTAAAATTAAAAAAAGAGGCCTAAAAGTGCTAATAAAAAGGGATTAAATGAGGAAATCACCTATGTATTGGCGGTAAAATTAGCACTAGGATACATACTTTGTATTCCGCAAGCAATACCGGTAATTTGATATTAATTTTCAGAAAATAAATATGGCGGATCCAATATGGTGGAAAAAAAATTTTAAAATGCATCGGATTTGCTTGAAAGTTGTTACTCGGGGGTTTCTGAGGTCGCTGCTGCCGAATCTGATGTTAATTTTCAGAAATTCAAAATGGCGGATCCAATATGGCGGACAAAAATTTTTTTAATTCATCAGATTTCGTTGAAAGTTGTTACTCGGGGGTTTTTGGGGTCGCTGATACCGAATCTATTGTTAATTTTCAGAAATTCAAAATGGCGGATCCAATATGGCGGACAAAAATTTTTTTAATTCATCAGATTTCGTTGAAAGTTGTTACTCGGGGGTTTTTGGGGTCGCTGATACCGAATCTATTGTTAATTTTCAGAAATTCAAAATGGCGGATCCAATATGGCGGACAAAAATTTTTTTAATTCATCAGATTTCGTTGAAAGTTGTTACTCGGGGGTTTTTGGGGTCGCTGATACCGAATCTATTGTTAATTTTCAGAAATTCAAAATGGAAGATCCTATATAGCAGACAAAAAATTTTTTTAATCAAATGATTCGGTTGAAAGTTGTTACTAGGAGGTTTATGGGGTCGTTGATAAAGTATCTAATATTGGTTTTTGGTTTTTAGAAAGTTTTATATGGTGCGTTAAAAAAATATTTTTTCTTAGTTTGCCCCGTGTAGAAAATAAAGATACTTTCTCCATGAGGAAGCAAAAATTAAAAAACATCAATTACTTCATCCTTAATTGGTTTAATAATTATCTAATTAAGTTATTATTGATATTTATTAATTTTTTACGGCGCGCCTTGAAAAATTAATTTATGTAAAAAATAAAGAATTTTCGTGAATTTATTTTGCCAAATATTTGGTTTAATGAATATTATTAGACTCTTTTTTAGCCTAAGTTAATTTCAATATTTGTTTACATGTTTTAAATTTTCATACTCATTATATGAAAAGATCTTGAAAATTATTTAAATAAAGTATTAAAAAGTAAAGGAAACAAATAAAGAAATTTTTATCCACAACAATTATTATGTATTATTATTATTATTATTTAAATCTTGACGTTAAGTTTGTGTTTCGAATGTAGTTTAAATTGCGCGCGCCATTTGTTTAATTTACGCTGTTGTCTGCTAGATGTCGATCATGATTGTATTCATTTCTATCTCGCAACTGACATTGAACCTCAATACATTAAATAGACGTGCTTTTGTGGCTATTCTTTTTTACGTCGTTAACCATTGACGATTATTTAGTGTATATACCTTCGTAATTTCTACTACGTTGTAGGTTTGTTTCGAATTTCAGTTTTTTCTAATTTTCAGAGGATAAAAAAATTTTTTTTTGTTCTTTGTTTTTTTAAAACACTGAATATTGACTTCGGACACATTTGAATCAGTCCTTTTTAGGACTAAAATAAGTAGTTTTATAAAACTATTTTCTTTTTGAATTATAACATTTTTTTCCCTTATTTTGCAGATTTTTTAATAATACAGAATATTTATTTCAGATAAATATTTCAATCAGTCCTTTTCAGGACTAAATAAATAGTTGACTAAATAAATAGACCCCAAGAACCCCCGAGTAACAACTTTCAACGAAATCTGATGAATTAAAAAAATTTTTGTCCGCCATATTGGATCCGCCATTTTGAATTTCTGAAAATTAACAATAGATTCGGTATCAGCGACCCCAAAAACCCCCGAGTAACAACTTTCAACGAAATCTGATGAATTAAAAAAATTTTTGTCCGCCATATTGGATCCGCCATTTTGAATTTCTGAAAATTAACATCAGATTCGGCAGCAGCGACCTCAGAAACCCCCGAGTAACAACTTTCAAGCAAATCCGATGCATTTTAAAATTTTTTTTTCCACCATATTGGATCCGCCATATTTATTTTCTGAAAATTAATATCAAATTACCGGTATTGCTTGCGGAATACAAAGTATGTATCCTAGTGCTAATTTTACCGCCAATACATAGGTGATTTCCTCATTTAATCCCTTTTTATTAGCACTTTTAGGCCTCTTTTTTTAATTTTAGACACATTTGTAGGTTATATTAGGGCCGCCATATTAGATTTTTCAAAAGGCCACATATTTTTTGAAAGTACTTATATATATGAATAATTTTTGGGTATAAGCGATTTTTTTGGAAGCTCTCAATTTTGGCCATCGGGGTGGCCCGCTTAACGTGAAACGTCCCATATATATATATATAGTAAAAATTACCCGCATTTTTAATAAAATTCTCTCTATTCAAAATTGACAATTTAAAAATTCAAAAAAATATATATTTTGGCCCTAATATATATCTCTTGCAACGTATTAATTAATTTCAAAGAAAATTCTCAAAAAAATAAAAGAAATTCTTTGCACAATTGAAGGTAAACATTCATATATTTAAAGATTGCAAAATAAAAACATATATATGTATATAAATGAAAATGTTTTTTTCTGATCAAAAAAAAAAAGAGAAAAAAATGGTCCCTTAATGTGAATAAGAAAAACGGTTGGAAAAACTTTTCTCTCGAGAGATGAAAGCCGATTCATATTTCTCGTGGTGCATAATCCGCGGAGATGGTTTCTGATTTTCGAGCAGCTTTTCAGGAAACTCGAGGGCATAAAAGGAAACGACAGAATGGAGTCAAGAGACGCGAAAATTCATAAACTTTAGAAACGTGTTCTCTCTCCCCCCCCCCCACCCCACCCTACCAAAAACCTCCTTCCTTCTAAAAGAGACGGAAGTTATATACATTAACGCGAAATGAAAACGAGCAAATACCATCAACTTTGAGAGAACTATGACTTGCAACGTATCAGCGTTCAAACAAACAATTTCACTTTATAAATGAGTCCAGGTTGAAAATGAATTTGTTGTTAAGACTCATTATATATGTTTCAACTAGAATTCGGGATTTATCTTGACACTTTTGCACTCGCTTTTCATATTTTGAATATGTCAAAAAAAAAATTTTTTTAAATAAATATATCTTAAGGGGGGAACACCAGTTGTAACTTTCGAAAAATCAATTTTTTTTGTGCATTTTCTTAAAGTATACATATTTAGAAATGTGTCTGTAAATTTCAAAGTTGATCCGGTGAAAAATAAATGAGATATACAGAACACTGCATCGGCGCGTCCCGTGGCTTCATACAAGGTGGCCAGCCATACCTGACCCTAACGACAGATGGCCTTTTCCTATGATTTAGAAACGGCAACCACTGCGGAAGAGTTATTATATGGTCCAGGAATCGATGACTCTTTGTAACTTGGAAACAAAATTTCTTCTGAACAAAAAAATGTAAGTTGAAACTTTGAATGCGTTTTTCTCAAAATGACATTTTCCAAGTCGGTGACCACGATTACTCGAATACCATTAAACCGATTTATTTAAAATTTAGTGTGCTTCATTTACACATATAAGTCTAGTTCGTGATCGAAGGATTTTTTTTTATGCAAAACTTTTTTTTATATAGCTGAAAATCGACCGTATTTTTTTAACGAAAATCATACTTTTGACTTTGACAGGTCGCCATTTTGTCAAATTTTTTTTTTTTTTAAATCCTTCGATCACGAACTAGATAATCTTATAATAAATGTAAATCAATTTCATTTTTGTATTTCAGACGAAGTATACTTGCAGAATGCTGGTCACCGCAATTCGCCTTTTTTCTTAAGACGCCACTTCAATGGCTCATATCTCCAAAAGTTTTTGTTAAAAAAATTTTTTTTTTCTTTTAAATTACAGCTTTTTACATGTACTTTTAACTAATAAATAGTATTCTTTAAAAAGATTCATTGTTCTTTTGGAAAATATTCTTGAAAAAAGCATTATTTTTTGAGTTACAACTGGTGTTCCCCCCTTAACTTCTAATTAACGTCACAAAATAATTTACATACTTCTACTTTACGCCTCCAAAAAGGCAAATAAATACAAATCTTCCTATTTGGAGTATAGTTAAGTATAGCTTTTAAGAGCAGTAAAAGAAGTATAGAGTAGACTTAAGTAGGCTTCAGAAGAATTTAAGTAGATTTTAAAGAGATTATTTGAGGAGTTATATGTAGAACACAAATTTCAATTTAGAATTGAGAAAAAAGTAAGAAATCAATTTTCTAATACATTTTTTTAGGGCCCTAATCAAAGTCCTATTTCAAATATAGTATATACATAGTGCGGGACAATTTTTTCACAGGTTGAAATAAATGTAAAAATATTAATCATTTAAAATTTTTATTTCAATTTCATCGTATACATTATTGGTATACAGAAAGTTAAACATTTTTCTTTTACTAAAATATTTTTAAATTTTACCATTTTATTCTTTAAATTTAACTTTCATTCTCTCTCCAGTACCAGCATCCGCAAAGTATTACTCTTACAACCGACCCTGGTTGTTGCTCCTTTTCTACATATAATAAAAGAATTTCTCTTATTAATTGAAAATTTTAAAAATTAGCACGATATATAGTAAGATTTATGGTAATTTCAAACTATAATACAGTGGAACCTCGATTATCCGAACTAATCTAGGCAAGGCCGGGTTCGGATAATCGAAAATTCGGATAATAGAGATTTTAATTTTTTTTAATAATTAAAGTAAAAAAATGTACAGTTGAACTATATATTTAACTTAATACATATGTTTTTAAATATACATAAGTATATACATATATGTAAATATATATATTAATTAATAATATATTAAAAACTCAGAAAATTCGGAAATTTTTAAGATTTTTTTTGGCATAAATTTAGTTATTTTGCTTTGAATGATAAAATAAATAGAGAAAATAAAATTTAAAATTCGGGAGGCCAAAAAATAGTTCGGATAATAGAAGTTCGGATAAAATGTTTTTCGGTTCGGATAATAGAGGGTTCGGATAATAGAGGTTCGGATAATCGAGGTTCCACTGTAATCATAAAAAACTACGATGACTATATTTAATTTTGTCTTTAAAAAAATTAAATATTATGTAAGAATAATTTTTACCTTTTTAGTGCGAATTTGAGATATTGTGATTCCTTGACCAGATCCTTTACTATTGACAGCCTGAACCATTATCGCATAAGCATCAAGTGATGGATATAGCAGGCCAGTGTATGTAAATATTGGATATTCAGAGGAATCATATAATATTCTATGTCGAGACTTTAAAATTGATTTATCCTTTACTGATAAAAATGGTGTTAATACCTATTTCACTGTTTTTGGACTATTCTCAGGTTTACGCCATCTCAAGGTGACTGTTGTATTCGTAAAATTCAACACCTTAATTAATCCTTTGAGACCATTAGGCTTGGCTAAAATAATATAAAATATATATACGATGAATATACTTTAAAGCCTTTATATATTTGCTAATTATTTGATTTGCGTATACCTGTTGGATTATCAGTGACGATTTCATTGGTATAAAGAGAAGAATAATTCTTATTATCATAGCTCACGGGCTCAATTTCAAATTTATATTTCCCACCAGGAGTGAGACCACTGACAATGAATTTATTAGTTTCTTCTAAGACAACAGTCAAAGCGCATAATATACGTTTTCCAAGATTTATTTCGCGTGCGTAAATTGAATAATGATCAATAATGCCTTTTTTTCCAACGAAGCTTTGCATGTGTATCAGTGAAAAAAATTACTTTAGCAAATTCTTCATTATTACCGTTTGGAAGTTGAATTGCTTCTTGTTGTGAAACTGTATTTAAATAACATTAAAATATTATGAGTTTTGTAATAGCAATGTTAATATTAACAATTAATTTTTACTGATATCATATTAATAAAGAAATAAATATAATTATACTATCGGTAGAATTTCTATTTAGAAGAATTTAAATTTTAATAATAATATTTCCATAATCTCTAAATATTTGAATTAAAAATAACTAATTTGATAGCAAACGTCAGTCATTGATGGTTTAAATAGTTTAATATTTGATTAATTATTGATTAATTAATATTTAATCAATTAGTTAAATATAATTAATTATTAATATTGATATTTAATTAATGTCCTAATTCAATTTCATAATATTTAATTTTATTTTTCACAAATATTTTCGTCAAATTTTTAACGAGCATTTATTTTAAATGTCTAGTCAACGTTTGCCTAATCATTGAATTTAAATGTTACACCGTGCGACACGATTTTTCACACACGAAAAAATCAATGATTTTCAAAAACTAGGACCAAAAAAAGATACCCGTGTCTGGCCGTTTTGCTAGATCAGGTCATTTTTTGCTTTTAGGGGTAAAAACAACCCTTAAATGAAAGGTGATAGGAAATCTTGTACAAATTAATAATTTTTTATCAAACCTGGTATCTCGGGGTTTTCCGGGTCGCTGATTACAAATTTGATGTCAGATTTTTAAAATTCAAAATGGCGGATCCAATATGGCGGTCGAAATTCATAAAAATTCACCAATTCATTTGAAAGTTGTTACTTAGGGGTTTTTGAGGTCGCTGATAACGAACATAATGTCAGATTTTAAAAATTCAAAATGGCGGGTCCAATATGGCGGTCGAAATTTATAAATATTAATTATTTTTTGTAAAACTTGGTTTCTAGGGGTTTTTGGGGTCGCTGATAACGAATTCGATGTCGGGTTTTCAAAATTCAAAATGGCGGATCGAATATGGTAGTCGAAATTTTTAAATGTTATTAGTTTTTTTTATAAAACTTCGTCTCTCTGGGTTTTTGGGATCGCTGAGTACGAATCTGATTGTACATTTTTAAAATTCAATATGGCAGACCCAATATGACGGTTGAAATTTATAAAAATTGTTAATTTTTTATAAAACTTGGTATCTAAGGGCTTTCGGCGTCTCTGAGTACGAAAATGATGTCAGATAAGAATAATAAAAACGACAAATCTAATAAAGGTGAAGATCACAAATCTGAAAAATAATTTGGAAAATTTAAATGTTCGATCAATTTTTTGTTAAAATTTTCAAGCCAACATTTTAAAATTTTTATTTTAAGTGATTTTTAATCTGAAAATTTGTATATTTATTAACTAAGCTTCTATTAGAATCAATAAATTCAAAAGGTTATAATCAAAATTTATTAAACAAATATAATGCAATAAAATAAAATTAATAGAAACATTTCATAACAACTCTTGTATTACGTTTGTGTAAATTTTAGACGCTTATTTTACGTTTTAAAGATTCGACCACCATATTCGATTCGCCATTTTGAATTTTGAAAACCCGACATCAAATTTGTAATCAGCAACCCCAAAAACCTTCAAGTAACAAGTTTCAAGTGAATTCGATGAACTTTTATAAATTTCGACAGCCATATTGGACCCGCCATTTTGAATTTTCAAAATCTGACATCATATTCGTAATCAGCGATCCCAAAAACCCCTAAGTAACAACTTTCAAATGAATTGGGGAATTTGTATAAATTTCGACCGCCATATTGGATCCGCCATTTTGAATTTCGAAAATCTGCCATCAAATTCGTAATCAGCGACCCGGAAAACCCCGAGATACCAGGTTTGATAAAAAATTATTAATTTGTACAAGATTTCCTATCACCTTTCATTTAAGGGTTGTTTTTACCCCTAAAAGCAAAAAATGACCTGATCTAGCAAAACGGCCAGACACGGGTATCTTTTTTTTGGTCCTAGTTTCTGAAAATCATTGATTTTTTCGTGTGTGAAAAAAAAAAGTTAAATTTTGTCGGACGGTGTTATTATTCAACGTTCTCACTTTATTGTCATTGTTATTTTTATTAAACCTTTTATAAATTATAATCACTTATTACGAAATGTTTATATTAATATATTGAATTTGAATTATTGTATCTTATGATCGAGTTTAAAATTTTTGAACATTTAGAAAAATAAAAATAAATAATTTGATCTCTAGTTATATGTATAAAATTGGCAAAAGTTGAAAATATAATTGCATGATAATAAAAATAAAAAATGCAATAACTCTAATGTTAAACTAATTGAACGAGATATCACTCGTCAGAACTCTTTCATTATAATACGTACCTATAATTATACAATTTCTCTCCTTTTGTTGTGAGATTATTATCATCCCCTTGAGCTTAATTTCGTATTTTTATCTCTTTCATATTCAATTACCACTTTTTGTGTCCTAGATCGTTTCTTCGAGTACTCTCCATTTATATATATATATATATATATACCTTCCTCTTCAATCTTCTTCTCTTCTGTTTATATATATACACTTTTCTCTCTGTTCTCACATATTATATAAACACAAGCTTTCATCTTCTTCCGACAAACAATTATTCTCAGTCAATGTACAACTTTCTTACTCGCAGGAAATAAAATACAGTTTTAAAATCGTGATGCACACAGCATTCATCTCTTGCTTATTGCTAAACTGTTCTAAGCTTGTTTCTTTTCTAAAAAAAAAAAAAATCTACTCGCGGATTTCACAACAGAAACATTTATTGTTCCTACCATTGTTTTAATAATGATCCTCCGATTCAGTTCAAGTTTAATAGGTGATTTCTATTTTTAAAATTTTTTTTATAGGTTTATGTGATTGTTGTGATTTTACATGTAAATATTCTCCGCAGGTTTTTTCGCAAAATATTTGATATTGATTGAGCTAAAATTTTGTGGAGAACTCAAAAACAGTATGAGGATTCGTTGTCATGTGGGAAAGTATATATTAATATTTTGTCAAAATTTTTTTTTTTTTTCATTGCATATTTGAGGAAAATTTAATATGTCGGCAATACGATTTTGATTATTTTCCTAAATAGTGAATTTTGTTAAAAATCAATTTAATTAAAAATCAATTAATAAAATATTAATATAATTTGGCACATTACATCCTTATACTATTTTTGAATTCTTCACAAAATTTTAGCTTAATCTATCAAATATTTTGCGAGAAAATCTGCGGAGAATATTTACACGTGAAATCACAACAATCGCATACATAATCTAAAAAAGTCCCTTTCTCATTAAAAAAAGTTCCGTATAGTAGTCAGTGATCTTAAAATATTTTTAGAAGAAAGGAAATCTTGAATATAATTTAAATCTATATGACACATTTCCGTCGTCATTAATTAGTGAATTAATTTCCAAATCAGTACAAATTTCTTTATCAGCCTGAAGAGGATGACAACGTTGCTCAACAATAAATCTCTAATTTTCCATTTATTTATAACACTTTTTAAATTATTAAATGAAAAACTTACCTTTAAATACAAAATAAGAAAACATATTTGTTTGATAAGCGAAAAAGAAGAGAAAAGACGATATAAAATAGGTTAGTCGACAGGGATGGGTAGTAAAATCCGAATTATTTTGTAAACATAAGGGATCCTCCAGACTACTTAACCCTATCAACTGCCACATATTGGGCCTAAGCAGAATGAAATCTCTAATCGTAAATCTTAAGCTTTTACATGAGAGAGAAAAGGATAGAAATATCTTTTGTCCATTTCTCTCTCATGTAAAAGCTTAAGATTTACGATTGGAGATTTCATTCAGCGTTGGCCCATTGTCTCTTTTTGACTTCTTTTCATATCAAACAAATATGCTCTTTGACTTTGAAGGCAATAATTAAATAATAAAAAATAATAAATTCTTTAAACATAATATAATATTTAAACTTAAATTATTCATTTGTAATAAAAAAATAACATAAAATCTGTAACTACAAGTCACTGATTGGATGTTTTTTTTCACATTTAGTTTTCGTACAATATTTAGAGAAGAAACAGAAAAATTTTGTAATTTCAGAGTGACCGATTTAAACCCACCTTTTGTTTTTTTTTTTTTTTGTTATTTTCTCTCGCAAATAAAATTGAAACTCCTTATATAAGAGAAAGACAATAACAATAAGAATAATGCGAAGAGACTGGGAGTGTCCAATGAGAGTTTTGGAATTTTTTGCAAAAAGGATATTCAAGTGCACCTGCGCCATGTCTCTCGGCAAGTGCAGGCAGTTGTAAAAGCAAATCGAGCGACGAATACAATATCCGTTGGTTTGCACGCTACACTGAAAATTGCCACGCGTGACAGCATGCATGCATTCTCAAGATGCTGAGTGCGAAGGTTTATATATGTACACAGTTACATCTTGTGTGTGAAAAGAAGACGAAGAAGAAGAAGAAGAAGTTCCAACTTGAGAGTTGCGCGAGTACTCTTTTCTGCGCAAATAAGCCCTTATTTTTACCTTTGTATCGAGAAAATGTGTACAATAAGACACACACTCGTATTGCATTGAGATAAAATAAGAAAACAATATTCTATATATCCACGACTCAATTCATGAAAAAAAAAAATAAATAAAATCATTTAGAATCTCTTTCCTTTATGATGCTGAAGAATAAGGTTCCACTTTATTTACAATTACATTCCAGAATAATAAAATATTTTATGAAAAATCTTTTACTTATTTATAAATCATGCAATCATCATTTTGATAAAATATAAGCGAAGAAACATTTTTACCAATAAAAATAAATTTTAATCCCTTAAATTTCATTTATTATTATATAAAATAAAAAACAACAATTTTTTGACAAATTGATATTAACTCTTTTGTGAACTTCAATAAAATTTTCTACTGAGATGTCTCAATTTGAATATAAAAAAAAGGAAGTACAACCCTCTAACAAATTATAAATGATAAATTATATTTTAAAAAGGACATGACAAATATTTCAGAACAACTTTTTGTTCATCTCAAATATTTGTCATGATGGTATATATATATATATATATATATATATGCATAAAAAGATAACAAAAAAATAATTCTCCGACACAAAGAGAAAATAAATAACATCCAAAGAAGGTAGACGAAGTAAATATAAAAAGAAGAATCGAAGTTAAATTTTAAAAAAAGAAGTATAAGAAAAAGAAGAACCAGACGAAGTGAAGGAAGTAACAAAAGGTGTAATAAAAGTAGAGCGCGCAACTAAAAGAAAAAAAATTTATAAATACCATAAGAAGATTATAGTGAAAAAAAAATATGAAAAAAAAATTTGAATAAAATTTCAAAATACGTTGCATTAAATTGAAAATTTTATAATAACCATAGAATTAAAAAAATAGAAAAAACTATTAATTTAATATTGAATATACAATTTCAAAATTCAAAGATTGTGATTAAACCAAAAAAAATTGATTTTCTTTTAAATTATGCGGTCATCGTAGAGGAACTATAAAAATTAAGGATTAGGGACTATTAATAATATTGTAAAATTGATGTGCATAAAAAGTAAATGAAAATGTGGTAAATGCAATATGATGTTCCAGAATGGGGTAAAAAAAAAGGTTTTGAGTATTATAGGAAGGCTTTCACACTGGCGGCGTTGGTGTAACTTGTTAGTCGGGGCACTCATACATCTCCAAGACCATGGAACAAGACGACGTCGACTTGTTTATGTGGCCAAGAGCTACTTGCCCCTGTGGCGGCCAACTAAATCACACCCCGCGGATTTTATATTAAAACAAATAATTAATTCCGATGCCCGGGCACACCGGGTGGTCCACCATTCTCCACACACACACAAAAAAAATCGCTTTATATATATATATGTATATATACAGAAAGAACTCTAAGTAACGATACGATTCGGTGAATAAACATGCCTATCGCACGACATCGCGCATCGTCCTCCAAAAACGTCTACCAGAGTTCGAAGTCATCAATTCTTAACTTCCATTACAAAAATTTTTTTAATTATTTTTTTTTCACATTATTTTTACATACATCTATACTGATAATACTTAATTTTAATAATTTTTTATTATTATTATTACTCATTTCAAAAGTTCCCGCGCGATAAAAATTTAACTAATCGATATTAGGAGCAGAATCGAAACATTCGATATATCGATTTTTTCGTCATGAAATTACAACCCGTCAACATTTTTTTTATTGTTTTTGGAATCAATGGAAAGCTTAGATTTCAAGGAATAATTATGTTAAAGGACAATTTTTTTTCGTCGATATCTAAGTTCCCAAATGCGCCACCGGACAAATCACCCACCGAAAAAATAACCCACCGACAAAATGCCCCAATTTGCTATAGTTTGTTGAGAATAAAAATTGAGTGTTGAGAAACCCAAGAGATGGAGTTACCATTTCAATTTGTTGATTGCAGTGGAGTAGAAAATCACTTATTATTATTATTACAATAACTATAACATAACAATAAATATGTAACAAAATTATATACAATATAATTACAAAATCATAAAAATTAAAATTAATTAATTATCTAATTTAAAATTTATCAAAATATTCACAATTAATAAATACTCATTCTGATAATTCACAGAAAATAAATATTTACTTAATTTATTAATTTTCTACTCCACTGCAATCAACAAATTGAAATGGTAACTCCATCTCTTGGGTTTCTCAACACTCAATTTTTATTCTCAACAAACTATAGCAAATTGGGGCATTTTGTCGGTGGGTTATTTTTTCGGTGGGTGATTTGTCCGGTGGCGCATTTGTCCAGTGGCGCATTTGGAAACTTAGCGATTTTCCTGGACCATGCAACAATCTCATTCAAATAGGTATCATTTTTTTTTGAAATTTAATAAGCTTAGAGTTATCTTTACTTTCACGCGAGTATGTTTTTCAATGACTCGCGGTGTAAGCGTTCGCACAATTTCGGACGGTAGTGTAATAATATAATATACAATTATAATAGGTATATATATAATTAATATATAATAATTTAAAATATTAAAATTTTTTTTTATTAAAAATAATAATAATAATAATAATAATAATATACTTACAGGAAAAGCACGAGTTGGTGAAACTTAAAAAAAGTAAGAGAGAAAATATATAAGTTGCTTTCATTGTTATTATTATGAAAACTGTAGAACAAAATACACAAATATTTATGACAATCGTTTAAATTCTCTTCTATTTATATGCATGCCCAAGTAGAAATGTGCCACTGACATAGTACTGACCCAACACTGCCAGTCAGTATAATAGTACTGACTGCCCTACTGGACCAGTAGTGGACCAACCCTGACTGGTAACGCTGTCCAGTACTGATTTTGTCCCGCTCACCAGTACTAACGTAGTACTAGAATAATACTGGCATAATACTGGCAAAGTACTCATCCGGACTTAAAATCTCACTTTTTTACAAAATGCTAAAACACGCTTTCCAATGCAAATTTCATCCTTATTAGCTTATTACTCCCATTTTTACCACGAACAGGTAATGTGAAGCCAATAATAGTTAATGTTATTTAGAATATATAAAATATTATTAACAATAAATAATTAAAATAATAATTATCATTTATATTAATTAAATTATTTTATTTTTAATAAATTATTTTACAAAAAATAATTTGTGTTGTAAATTTTTTTATTTTTTTAAATTCATAATATTTAATTTTTTTTACTTAGCACTTATACTTAATTTAATAATTATTTAATAATTGATATTACACATGAACAAATATTGTACTTATAACACTTAAAACTAAGAACGAAAAATCTCGCACGCATGGGGGATCGAACCCTAAACCCTTAGAACGCAAGTCAGATACGCATACCGCACAGCCGCGCTGGCTTGAAGTGCTGACTTGAAGTAGTTCACCTAATACAAAAGTTTTGATTTCAAAGTTTGTATTATCTATTGATCACGAAAATAAAATGAATTTATTCTTAAATTTTTTAAACTCACAAAATTTTTTCAATTTTTACAAAGATTTAATGAAATAAAACTGGATATCAATTTCAGTTAAATATTTTTAATAAATTATTTTTACCGTAAATAATATTAAAACCGACAAAAATGATTGATGAATTACATAATTAAAAATAAGTTAATAAAAGACGACTGTAAAATATGAATGGTAAAAAATTTTTTAAATTTAATATTTAATTATTAATAATATTTAAAAATTACAGTGAAAAAATTACATTTGCTTTATTTTTAAAACTATTAAAAAAAAATTCTCAACTTATTGTTATTGTATGCATGATAAATAACTTAATGCACATATTTCAATGAGTACTAAAATAACTAAAAAAACATAAATATATTTTATATAGGTATATAATAATACATTACAATTACATCCAAAATTTTGAGGGAAAGTATTCGATAGAAATTAATATACATTTTTTTAAATAAAAAATCATCGTTTTCTACCTATTGGAATAATTTAAAGACTTTTTCATTTAATGTTTTTTATCACCGACATAGTACTGATTCGGTGTGAATGACAGTGTACTGCCAGTACTGGTTTTAATATTTTTTTACCTCCGACATAGTACTGATTCGGTGTATTAGTCAGTACACTGCCAGTACTGAAAGTCAATACCGACAGCCAGTATTGGATCAGTACCATGCCGGTGTTTAATTACGGCGAGCTACGGATATTTCTACTTGGGTGCTTATCACAAAACGCATAAAAATATACAAAATATACAAAAATTTATTTGCAATAAATAACTTGACTTATCTAAAAATTTTCTTGCCCATTTTTTTTTTATTACTTTTGGTGAAACTTAATATTATTTTTGAAAAAAAAGAACATTGTAAAATAAAAAATTTGAATTACCTTTTAGAAGAAAATATTATTTTTAAATTCAATTTTATTTTCCAAAACTAAATTATAAATAATAGAAATTAAAAAAAATTTGATCATGGATTTTTTATTCAAACCAAATATATTTGAATTAAATAAAAAAATATTTTTTATTAAGAACAATATTAATTATTTAATTCAAGATTTAATTAAACCAAATGAAAATTTATTAAAAACAAAAAGATTTTTCTTTTTTATTTTTGAGAGAAAAAAATTTTTTTTTCTCCTGAATGTATATTTCGGTGAATGTAAATTGATTTAAAAAGTACTTGAAAATATTTTTATTTTATTGATAAAAATAAATAGGCTCAAGTACTTTAAAACATACTAAATTTAAATTAAATTAAATAATTTATTTAATTTTTTGAAATTTTTTTTTTTTTTTATTTACAAATAGTACTGCGCAAAATATAAATCACGTTTTTTACTTATAATAAATAATGCATAAAAGATTAAAAAAAATAAAGATTATGAATTTTTTTTTTTATTTCAAATGGCAGATAATGCGTTACGTTTATATTATTTTTTTATTGGTGAATCATGTAAAAACTTTTATTTTAAAATTGGAAAAATTTTTAAACTATAAAATATCTGCTTTTTTATACTTATTTGTTATACGTTTAAGGTGCCTGCGTTACATACATAAAATATGTTCTTGAAATTATGAACGTACTCATTCTTATCTACAATTAATATATTTGAAGTTCTGAGCAAATGTCCTGATGTGTGTGTGTATGTATGTCACAAAATATTGTGTACAAATTATCCCAGAAACATTTTAACGGATTATCCTGAAATTTTGTATGCTTATTGCAGTCATTAATACCTAAAATCTGACACAAGGATTTCAAAATATATTCACTTTTTTTCAATTTTTTCAAAATTTGAAATTTTTTTTTTCAAAAAATTTTTTTCATTGTAAATTTAATTTTGTTTGTTAAAAAAACTTATTTCTTGCATTAAAACGAATCGATCAACCTATATAAACCCTCACAACAAAAGGATATCCTGAGGATATCCTCAGGATATCCTAAACTAATGTAGGATATCCTGAAAACGTCCATAGGATATCCTAGGATATCCTCAGGATATCCTCAGAACATCCAAACCGCCGTTACGTAGGATATTTTTGGGATATCCTGAGGATATTCTAGGGATATCCCTGGGATATTCCAGGGATATCCTAGTGATATCGTGGGGATATTCTTGGGATAAACTTGGTATATCGTTAAAATATTTTAGAAATATCGCTAAGATCTCCCTAGGATATCATTATGATTGAAATTTTGACTATTTGATATCTTGAAAATACATTATAAATACATCCAAAAAATATGTTTTCTATTTTTATTTAATTAATTTGTATGCTAGGGTCGTTTTATGGATACCTTAAGGACATTTTTAGAACGACTCAAGGATATTCTAACCCTTAAGATAATATAGACATACTGTGGATATCGTTAGGACGTCCTTAGAACATCCCTAATTATTCCAGGGATATCCTTAGGACGTCCTGAGGATATCCTAATAATATCCGGGGAAATGATTAGGATATCCCTGGGACATCCTTAGATATCCCTGGGATATCCCTAAGATATCCTAACCGCCGCTACTTTTGATATCCTTAAAGTATCCTTAGGATATCCCTGGGATATCCAAGGGATCTTTTTGGAATATCCTAGGATATCTGGTGCTGTGAGGGAATTCATATTTTACTAAAATCTATAGATTAAATCATTTTTTTGATTTTTTGAAATAACTTTTTCTTATATAGAAATTTTAATTAATTCTTGTCAAAATTGTACTCCTGACATGAAAAAAAAAACGATTGATGTATATAAATTTTACATTTTACCAATATTTATAAAATTGATCGCTATTTTAGTTGTAATACTTCTTTTAATCTTGAATATAAGTGTATCATCATGAGGAAGCTAAATGGTCATGAAATGAACACCTTGTTTAATATTATGTTTATTATTATTATTATTTATTATTATTTTCTACAGATATGTGTATTTCTTTTTTGTAACCAAATAATGATAAGTTTTGTAGCTTTTGAAAATCCCGCGCTTATTACTGACAAAGGTGTGTTCAAGAATAGAGTATATAAGAGGATTTACGATTTTGTTAACCTCAATATTATTCGAATTGACATTTGAGACGCTTGTATCGCGGACATTCATCTCATACATGCGGACACGTGGGGTTCCGCAAAATATATATGAACCTGTCCATGTGTCTGAGACTTTGCATGAATATGTGTTGTTGCGCGTCTTCTCGACGTTTTATTGTAACACACACGTCATTCGATAAAAAAAAAGAAAAAAAAAAAATTTGACTCGAACATCGCATCACTGCCGCTATAATCTTCATGAACGATGGAATTAAAACTGTTCACTTCACGCACACTTATTGCAAAGGAATATGGGAAAAAGAGGGTTGACAAATAAAACAGAGACAAAAAAAAGAAAGAAACAAATCTTTTCATTATACGTAATCAGCGCTGAAGAAAAGTAAGAAAAAAAGCTCTAGTCTTCTGAAATATACACGCAACAAGGAATTAAATACGCCTTATGAGAATTCACTATACATGAATAATAGAAACTGCATTCCTGAATTAATAATCATGTTTCATGTAAACAGACATTGATAGATGTTATATCTATTTTTCTAAAAAAAAAATTAAATACTGTTGAAAAAAATAGTTACATGAAAGAAAATGTTATTTTTATGATGGTTACATTTTATCGATTGTTGATAATACAGGTTACTTTATTACCTACAGTCGATAAAGTAGAAAATTTAATTTGGCTGTGAAGATATTAAAATTGTTACTGTTATAGCTGAAGAAACGTAGTATAGTATACCGGATGTTGAAATTGAAGGAAACTGTATATCCCACAGTTGGCAAAGTAGATATTTAGTTGTTGGTAAAATAGTAATCATCTAACACTAGGTTCTATTGACAAACTAAAAGTTTTATCAATCAAAAAAAATTATTAATCCTTTTTTTGTTAACAAAAAAACGAAGTTAATTTAAAAACTGTTTTACCATCTGTCGATAAAGCAATTTTTATCGATTCTTTCTAGATTTTATTAAACAAAAAAGTTATTGCAATTTACTATGCCATGAGGCGTTGATATTATCAGTTGATAATATCGAAATTGTAAGTGAATCGTTTAAATAATTGAAGAAGTGAATTCATTTCGATGTGTATATATGTGTGTCGTTTTTATCGAAGTGCAACATCTGTTTGCGCATAGGTCGTAAGGCGCAAAGGTATAATCAGGGTGTGAATTCTTGGTATTTAAGTGTCCAACAGTATAACAGTACCAGCAGAGGCAAAACCTTTTCTTATACCCCTGTAATGATCTCTTTGTCCAGGCAGCGTGCGACTTTAAGTGAAAACGTCCATTCAAAGTGTGACAATAGTTTCGTGCCTTGAATATATTGCTTTGATTGCGGACTGAAGATAACAGCAAAGAAGTCCGATACTCGTCTCTCTCTCTCTCTCTCTTGGTCTATGCGGCGTATTTGCAATTTCTGATGATCATTTTTCTATAAATATTTGTATGTTAATTTATTTTCTAAATAAGTTGGTTCCAATGTATGATCAAAGTAAGACCAATGTAGATCCAATTTTCAATACAATGAGAATTTTGTGTTATACACTCTTAATTGTAAACAGAATTATTACACAAAAGTGTCATGGGGATGTGAATTATAAAAGTTTATCGAACGAATCTTGTTGAAGAATTTGAGACTTTCTGTCTGGTGACACGAAAAAAGAGTATATATATATCGTTCGTCGGGAAAAACTTATGGTCATAACATCTCGACTCGAATCTGGTCCATCGCCATATAAACTTGGCCGGATCAATGTTCGCGTGTTCGTTTGACTTGTTGTTTTCTTGGATTGTGTGTGGATGCTCGAAAGAGAGAGAGAGAGAGAGAGAGAGAGACTTTGTATTGTGCTTATAGTGTATATGTATATATACATGCGAGGAGTAATGGAAGCGAGCGCCGCCTCTCAGCAGCAGCAGCGGCCGCGCTCTATAGGGTCGCTGACTCGAACGGTCGCCGATCCGTCAGTCGATTACTCCGGGGATCTTACGTGAACATGGAAACAGGTTCTTGGAATCCGGTTCTCGATTCTACATACGACTCTAATCAACGCGCGGTTAGATTGCTGCACCGTTCCCTCTTGGTTATAGTTGTTCGCTCCACACACACACCAACACACACATACAATCCAGGAGCGGACTCGATACACCTACTGCGTGAACATTGTTTCCCTCTCGCGCATGGTCTCGAAATCACCTTCGCAAATACATTCGCAAATTCTATAATTCTTAAATTCCCATTTACCATTTATATTTTTGCTATTATTGGAATTAAGGTAGAGTAATTTTAAGAAACAAAGTTATCAATTTTAAAATTTTTCCAAATCTGGTTTTTGTCATTTGGAATTAGTCTATATATGGTTAAGGCTGTAATTAGTTGGATTTGTTTGACTATAGTGAATCGGGATCTAATTAGAATTAGTTAGTTCGACCGAATGCAAGTATCCAGATTTCTGTACTGAAATAATTTCGGATTTAACCGAACTATTTTCACTATGGTTGTGTATATTATATGATTAAACTAACGTTGAATTAGATCGATATATGATTTCGAATTTACTAAATACAAACTTGACCAATTTTGAATGACAAAAAGTCTAACGACTATAAACCAAACTGTTTTTCGGACCAACTATTCTGGATTACACTATACAAAAAGAAGTATCGTAATTAATGATGTTTTGGTATGATACTTCTTTTTACAGTGTAGTCTAAAATTTTGTCTAGAATATTGCAAACTGTTGGAAGTGCAACGATGTTAGCTAAAAAGATATTAGCAGAAATATTGTAAAGATCTTAATACAAACATTTTTGGGTACAGAACTTAGGTATGTCTTAGGTATGAAGAGTAATAAATAAAGGGTCAAGGGGAAGTCAGTCTCCGCCTGACTACAGATGCGAATACATGTTAAAATACATTTTCGGTACAAAAATAAAATTCCAAAAATCTGTAATAACTAATATTTTTCATTAATGTTTATACTAATAAATATTGTGTCACATGTGTATAATTAACTGTGTATTTTATTTAATTTCCTGATTATAAATTATCTGAAATAAGGGATTTTTCCAATACAAACTATAACGGGTTTCTACGCATACAAATTCTGAATGATTTCCAATTGTTTTTGAATCAAAATTTTTTTATTCTAATAAATCCGAATTGTTTCGGTATACGATTTCAGATTGACATGCAAACTATATTAACTTAATGAACAATAAGATTTTTGACCGTCAACTAATTGAAGATTTTTACGCAAACTGCGGATTTTGTACATACAAAAATTTTAACTCCGAACTCATTTAAGATTAGGATTTTCTGCATATTTTTTTTTATTATTTATTGGACTCAATTTCGGTTTTAGATTTTTGAACTTTCGATAAATGATTCGAAATTCGTTGAAACAAAATAAAAAGAAGATTATCTTGTCCTAATTCTGTAATTATTTATTTGGAAGAAATAGGGTGGGGGATGTCTGTATAGAGAGATAATAAAAGAAAGTGGAAAGAGAAATAACTAAAGGAATCCTTAGGCAAACGGAAATATAAATCTCACGTGTTTTATCTAAGATTTGAACGTGTCCTAAGTAGCATAGATGAAACGGATAGTCGTTGTCCTTTGGATCTTGGGATCGCAACGCACAGCGGTTCGATCAATTAAAAG